TTATACCAAAATGCATCCAAACTGTAGTCACACCTAGCAACTCAGCATTGTTTTTGGACAGGAAGCATTGCAGACCTTATCCATATGAAATCAGAAGCACATTCAGGAACCAAGAACAAAGCTGGTAAGTTGCAAAACTGGCCAAGCCTTCATGTTAAGAAAGTGATCAAATACAGTCAGTTTATTTTAGAATAAAAAGCATATCCTCTGGACCCTCCTTCCATGAGTCTGGGCTTACCTTCTAAAATTTCCTACCACATCCATACATACAGGTTTCCTCTCTCTGTACAGGTCCAGTTTCAACCAACTTAGACTTGCCTGAGTAAGAACAACACAAACTGTTTGCTTCTCCCCAGTCTTGGGAAAAAGACAATGTTGCAATGAGAATGTTGCCCAGACAGGATGGGCACACCAGGAAGGTCCTACTTTGTAGGATCTCTGGAGCTCTGCTGATACAGGCAATGGGCACAGTGGAGGAGATCTGACTTGCCTTCACTGGGACTTGCCGCGTTAGGATTAGAGGCATTGGCAGCTTCTTGTTCCCAAGAAATTCTCCCCTCCCAAGCTTTGTCTCCGTTTTTACATTACTAGATCAACAAACTCATGCAAACAAAAATTCTCAGAGGCAGCACACTAAAATCAATGGATCAGGATCACAGCAAGAGCAATACAACCAGGAGTGGAAGTCATGCTTTCATCTGCTTCCATCCTAAACAGGCTCAGTGAGTGAAGCGTAACAAGCAGTGAACAAGCAAATACCAGTTCAGTTTGTAACAAAACCAGGGACTTACTGTAATTCTATCTAAAGATTTCTGAGCATGTTGGAGACTTGGACACACAACAATTAACAAAAAAACCTCTGATGGTGGTTACATGTTCCACCACTTTGCAGAGATGAAGTCACCCAACAATAGGATGCGATGACTTATCCAAGGTCACGTAACCAGTGAGCACCACTGGCAGCCCAGGCAGATTGCCTCTATTTACTGACTTCCAGTCCTGGGGCTAAACCACAAACTCAAATAAATTCATGTCCTTTGCACCGAAATAGGCTGCTCAAATACCACCAGGGTTATGAGTAAACAAGCACCTCCTTCCTCAGCAGAAAATTTCAGCTCACCCACTCCCTCCAGCTCAACTTTGCATGCACCTGTGTGCACACAGATCTGATACAGCTTTCCAAAGCAAATAGAGTCCAAAAATACCCTGATCAATTTACATCAATTCTAAAATACTTACAGCAACCTGACCAGCTTAAGGCAAAGGGATGTGGGACCACGCTGTATATAGTCATCCCAAAGTTCTTTCTCCTGCTTGAAGGCCCCACACACAGCCAGGTCACAGCACAAGGAAACCTTCACCGAGGCTTTTCTCTTCAGTGCCTACATTGAGGCTTTTTAATGGCTTTATTCTCAAAAGGGTTGAGCAGCCAACTTCTTTGAGTGCTTCAGTATGGCATGAGTCCATTAAAACAGCTCAGAAAGATAATTTCAAGTGCTATTATGGCAATTTTCACAGCTTTATTCAGTGGGCACAGCAAGATGAATCTGCATTAGTGCTTTCTGGGAATTTAAGTCTGTATAAGCTCTAAACACAGGACATGCTGTTTGATTTTACAGGGTCATCTAACCCTTGCAGCTGAGCAGCACACCTGCAGCTGTTAGCCATTCCCCTGCATCATTACTGTGCTCTCTCTTTTCAACCAAGGCTAACCACTCATGGCACATGGCACATTTGGCTTTTTTTTCCCCCTCAGATACAAACA